CCTGGATCTCTGGGTGCCCTATGCGTCTCGCCCACCGAGGTTGCCGTATTTGGTAGAGTCCCCATCTTGTCCTCTTCACTATTGTACTGACTTGGCAACCTAGCTTTCCATCCCCACTCCGCGTTGTCTGCACAACAACGTGCGACTGCGCATTTTCGCCCCCACATCTACATCCGCCTCTCAAGCGTCGCTGTCCTCGGCAGACGAAGAGGGCGGTTCGTGGGATCTCACTTCAGACCCGCATGTCACCCGCGCCACGTCGTCGCGCCAGTCTCGTTCTGGCAACTACTCGTACGGGGACGTTGCAGACGATGAATCGAGCGACTCGTCGACCACAGGCTTTTCGGATGGCTATGGCATCCAGGGCACGTTTCCCAGCGCGGAGCGTATCCGCGTTCGTTGGGCCAAACCGATCAAATCTGTTACTGGCGAAGCTCGGCGGCGGGTCGGTGTCAACAACGTCAAGGGCGAGATGACCTGTGCCGTTCTGGGCAAGATGTGGGATCCAGTAAACCAGCGGGACGGTGTAGTGATGAAAGTGACTTATCAAGGGACATGTAAAGGCACTTGGTTTCCTGGTGTGGCGACGATGCTTGGCATGGACGTGAGCTTGGAAGCCAAGGGATCAGACGTTTCTTGGGTGCCAGGCGGCAACTCCGAGACCTGGCAAGTGGGTGGAAGTCAAGGATACACTGGATTCGATGTTGGTGCTTCTCCGAAACCGGATGCGCCGTCAAGGCACGATTCTCTGGAATCGAACTACTCCAATGGGTTCCTCACGGCCGAGCGGGCAGGAATTTCACGACAAAGCTCTGCCTCGTCGTCGACGACGTCTCTACTCCGCGGACCTCTTCCGGTTCCCAATGTCGCAGATTATTCTTTCGAAGGTCCCAATCCGTCCTCCATGTCTGCGTCTCAAACCACCTCGATGGAGTCGTCTGTCGGCTCCCTCGTGTCTTCTGCGCCCTCCGTAGATGCCAAACGTCCCCCTGGGGTTCCCGTAACGATTCACATCAACATGAACGAACTGCCCAAGGTGTTTCAATTCTCGATAACGGGCACAGTGCTGGTCACCCCGCGTCTGCGGGTAGCTCCGTCACGCAGTTCTTCTCCCGCACCTGCAGGCAACGAGCAGGACATTGACCCAGAATCCGTGGTCATTCCCCGATTCACTGTTCTCGCTGCCGACGCCGAGACGGTCAGCATCGTTCTGCGGAACGAGACTGACGCATGTACTGTGGAATTCCTCGACAGCAACAGTTCTCATGAACGTGCGACTAGGAAAGTCCTCCAGCGTAGGGAGTTTTCACGCTGCTCGGAACGGGCGCGTTTCGTCGTCAAGTCCGGCGTCATCTTTGCACCTACGGGCAACGGAGATGCCGTGGCAGCTCCGAATGGCAAGTTGGCCCCGCCGAGTCGGCCGAGGACACCGAGTACATCACGGGATCGTGTGCCGTCGACTTCCGGCAACCGCGGCAGACCACTGATCGGCATGGTCTCACGGCCGAAGCGAGATGGGGCTTTGATGATTCCCAGCGTGGTCGCGGACGTGACTCCTATCGTCGAGACACCAGAGGACGCCTCGAGGTGTGTTCCAAAGGCGTATGCCGTGCGGGTCACTTTGGCGGCGCCGGTTGATGCCGAGTCTGATTGGCTCGAGTTTGGGTTGGCGAAACATGCATCGGCGGCGGTTGTGGCTGGGACTGGCCCGCCCAAGGTGGAGATTGTAGGCGTGAGTGTAGACGATGTTCCTGTCTTGTATGAGACAAGCGTGGCTGTCAAGCAGGAGGAGACGGCTGTCGGCTTGCCGTTTGAGCAGATGAGCGGGCAGGAATGGGTCAGTTGGGTGAAACTACGTGTCGGGGCGGCAGGGGGCGGCCGAGTTGTTGTCGATTACGTGGTCACGGACGTGGATGCGCAGAAGACAAAAGTCAAGGATCGGACGCAGTTTGATGTTTTCTTGCCAACATTCGGACTACCTGTGGGCCGATTACAGGTTAACATTGAAGGGAATTCGGGCAAGTGCATTCTTCATTTCAGTCCTTTGTCGCTCATCATTTCCTCAGACCTGGAAATATCATCTTTACGGACAAATTTCTCCCATAATCAAGTCGATGGATCTGGACGGAGGCTACTACATTATTCTCTCTCGCCATTCTTCTACCCCCACATCACTATGGACTTGAAGCTACCCCGTCGTCCGCTTCACTCCGCAACATTACTCTCCAGCAACCTCGGTCAATTAGTGGCCATCCTCATTTTGTGGATTGCCCTTGCCATTGCGTCAGTGTATCTCGTCCGCTTGAACTCGGAAGTCTTCAAGCTTTCGAGAGCGCTGGAAGCGTACGCTATCGCGCCGGGACCTGGATGGAATGAGCGTCCACCAGAGACGTTCACCATCACGTCAACAGCGTTCCAAACAACACGATGGCCTTGGTTCGATGCACCCTCAGAGTCGGCCTCGGAATCCATTTCGACCGTGACCATCTCTGTAACCGCTCCTCCCGTTACAATCACGGCTCCTGCCATCCCGACAGAAACGCACCGAGTTCACCCCACTTCGGATTCCTCGTCCTCCTCTCTCGCCGTATTCCAGCCTCTGCTACTCAACTTTAGCAACCTGAAATGGCCAGAGGTGGATGTGGATCTAGTCCTCGAAAAGATTGTCCAGGGCGCCGAGAAGCTGTGGTTCTTGCTTCGGAGAATATACCATTATCCATTGGATCCTACATGACATTGATATTCACGATTTAATGACTCTTTCTTCTTGGTTCCGTATGTTTATGATATTTATGTAGCGCTAGTGTATACCTAGTTTCATGATAATGGGAAGGAGCGGACAGAGTCTGTGCAAAGGAGTACTCGGCCAGGTTCTGCCCACCATGATTGCTCACTCACCTTGAGTCGGGGTCTTGCCCGCGCTGCTATCCGATAGTTCCAGTAAATAGCTGAACGCTGAGCAGTCCGTGCGAGGAACAGATAAAGAATGGGAAAGAAATGGCCATCGCGTGGTTTGAACCATCATCACTCATCATCACGTTGGCGCGTAAGTCGGCCCCGACAATCTGCCGCCTTAAGCACTCGGCCACCTTGAGTGCGTCCGGGAGTTGAGATAACAGGACCACCGGATAACAGGACCACCGGGATTCTGGTGATGGCGGTGATGTGCCGATCGGCATGTCAGCGATATATTCATATCCATCAAATGATCGATGATCACACTCCTGTCTCTGCTCCTATCTCTGCCCTCCAACCTCTCACCCAGCATAACCCGACCCGTACTCCAGTACCGCCTGCGCGTGTGAGGCCCCCGCTGTCGCCCTTGACGCCACGCAAACGCCACACGTCGCCCATATTAGCCGGGCCGATGGGTCTGAGTCTCGAGATCGTGCACGGTGCGTGCCCTTCTTCCCTCGGGAACTGACCTCGCCCTTTTTTGCCAGTCTTTGTGCTCGGAACCTGGCCCACGCCTCTTCCCACCTTCCAGCCTCTCATGATCATTTCCCGCTTCGGCAGTCACCTCGCCGCCCCATGCACGCCCACATTCACACTCACGCCCATCATGATCCCGCCGCACACCGCTCCCTGGGTACACTCCTCTCCTTACACCACCGCCCTCCTCGCACGCCCTGCAACACCGCATATCCTCCACCTTCCCGCACGCCGCCCGTAGTCTGTAGAGTACCGCTTTTTTCATGAGCCACTGGCCCTAAGTACCGTCCTATTGTATGTACCGTTGTATGTGGCATATGTGTGGCTTCCAATATTGTCCACGCTACTTGAGAAAGGCGGGCAGTCGTGAATTGTACTCAGGGATGTTGGCCGTGATGATAGCTGCTTCGGCAGATCACCGCGGCACAGCCATCACAAATCCGGTGGTCCTGTTATCTCAACTCCCGAACTTTGTGGCCACCTTTTGGCCTCTTTGGGTCAATTCAACCACTCGCCACTTTCCAGAGTCGGCGGCTCAACCCACATTCTGCCCCACAATCTGCAGGCTTAACCACTCGGCCACAAATGTTAATTGACTGCCAAAAGACGCCTCGCCCAGCTTCCGTTCCGTCTTCGCGCCGCAGCTTCCAGCGCCTACCACCTGGCACTCGTTCACTACCAGGTCGGCCTCTTCCATTGACCACGCTTGAGTTCCTCCTCGGACTCTTGGTCCCGCATAGCATGATCATATCTCACCCTCGTTGGCGTCGAGTACCTCGTCGAGCACCTCGTCGTGCACCAACCTGACCGCTACAAATACTCGTCGGTTGTGGAGGCTCAGCCGAGGTCCACAGAGCGATCTCCTCTGCACCACGGATATTTCCTCAATTCGGGTCTCAACGAGGCACCTCAAAAGACGGTCGGGATAACAATGCCTCGACGCGCGACACGTCGACGGCAGATATTCACCGACTGCTCCTGGTTACCACCGAGCAAGCAGAGTCTACGGAGGATGAATGAACAACGTGCACCGCGATGCCTCTCGCTCTCCAGGTCTTGGTGCCACTGGTCCACTAAAACTCGGAGCTCGGGCATCAGTTTCCTGGCCTGAATCAGGGTAATCTGTCCTCGATCTCAGGCCGCTTACACTTTCTCTTTGATTTGATTCGCTATCGTTCTCGCTCATTCCTCAATGCCTCGGGTACCTCCTTGCCTGGAAACGCCGTCCGCGTTCTCTGCTCAGTGCTATCTGTTGAGTTCGCGTTGGATCATACCTTCCCTCTTCTGCGTTCAAAGCTTTGAGATTCAGAGGGCACCCTGCTCGTGCCTTTTGAATCATGTGGCGACATAGTTGTCTGTAGCTTCAAAGAAAAAATTAGATCCATCGCCACCGCTGTAAACCTTCATCTTCCTCCCTTTCCGCAAAACAGCAGTGACTTGCTAGAGGCTTGAGAGTCGGCACGCGGGGTCGAAGCGTCTGGACTGCAATACAACGAAAGGGGGCAAGGTCTTGTGAAGGCCTTGGTGACCGTTGGCCAGCAAAAGATCAGGCGAACGAAGCAAAAGAGCGACACCAGCAGGACTTGAACCTGCGCTCCCAGAGGGAAGCAGATATTCGGAAGGGGCCGGAAATTCCCGGACATTCGAATCTGCCGCCTTAACCACTCGGCCATAGTGCCTTGGATACCCTTCAAAGGTCATGTTACTCATAGATACGTTGAGCGGAGGTGGAAGGAAGTGGATGTGAGCTCAAAGAGACCCCCCCACCGTACTACCAACTAGGCGGTACTCTGGTTAACTGCACAGATTGGCATGCCAGATAGTGACTCAATGAGGTGCAGGGAACATGTACAAAGACCATAAGGAAAGCTCTTACTTGTAACTTCTCAGTGATCATGATGATTTTCTTGAACTTCTACTTCCTTTTCAGAGATTCTGAAGAGACAGTTCTCTTCAGAATCAACTTGGCTATGCCCCCACATAAAAAAGAATGGCCGAAATGATCATTAGAGGCCTCACAGGGCAAAATACATGAAACTGTTCCGCTAGGCCCCTGCGCAAGGTTCCATTGTTCAAAGATGCATAAATATTGAGACCCGTAGGTCTACCACTCCGGAAAAGCGTGTCATCCTTGTGCAGGGGCCATGCTAATGGGTTGAAAGAGCCGCGGGTGCTAATCGACAAAGTCCGATATCATTGGGCGCGTCTCTGAGCGAGCGAGGAGAGAGTCGGAAAGTGCCGTCATTGAGAAGGAATACATGGCCCGAATGGCCGAGGAAAGCGACTGCTAGCGTTGTTGGGAATGCATGTCAGTGATTGTCCTCGAATGTTGTTGGGTAATGCGTGTCATTGGGAACCGCCAGCCGTGTCCGGGAGGTTGGTGGAATGCGAATGCGTGTCATTGAGGTTGCGGGTGCACGGAATGATGGCCGAACATGACACATGAACGCTGACAATATTGGTGCCACGCACCCCAAATATTGTTCCCAAGCCTGAAAAGGCAACTGGCAAGCGAAAAATCACCAAAAAAAAAAAAGAAAAGAACTCATCGCGGCTCGAACCCACGCCAAAGTACTTAAGCCCGACACGCTTACGGCCAGCGTGTCATTCCCTTGACAGAGACCACCAAGCCTTCTCTGTATCGTTCCAATTTTTCGTATGACACCCCGAAGGGGTCAGAGAATGGTGCAAAAGTTGGGTAGACATCAATTGAATGATGCACCTTGTTCATGAACTGGTTTTGATTGCAATATCCAGTCCCTAGACTGGGCAATACGAAATGAGGTAAATGGTCCAGGGTACAGGTAGACTATAAAATATGTACCTGACTCAAAGGCTGGAACTTCCAAGTTCAGGCATTTGTGCAAGTGTGATTTCTAGTGAGATACAAGAGCTGTTGACACTCTTGTGCGCCAAAAAATCATACATTACATTATATATGTTCATATGTGTAGATATGTGGATGTGAGAGAATGACTCCCCACCATGCTCTTAACTAGGCAGCACTCTGATTAACTGCCTCTGGTGTGCTCAAGAAAACATACATTGCATTATATCTTTCATGTACACATATAACATATCTCTAGATAGCATGCGAGGCAGATACCATAGGTAAAGCCTGGTTCTTACCCTTCTTATTTCTTCTACTACTGGAAGACTTGGGCGCACTACGAGGCCGAGAAGCCGACTCGGCCTCTGCCTTGACGCGTTGCTCCTCTGCAGCCCACCACTTCAAAAAGTCCGCTTCCTCCTGCCGCGCCCTCTCCTCCTCTTGGATCTCAAGCAAGGAACGTTTATCCTTGACAGAGGATGTACCCTGTTCGAGCTGCAGTTGCTGGATAGCCACAAAGGACACGCCCGAGACTGGCTGGGATGATACGATCGCCGGTGCAGGTGGTGGCTGAGTCCAAGCTTTATTATTGCCCGCACTGACGCGGCGCATGGTGGGTGCTGCGGGACGCGAAACAGGTTGTTTGGTCGGTGTAAATACGGGCCCAAGGCCAGGTGCCGGAGGCTGAGGTGCTCGAGAACGTGGAGGAGTCGCTGGAGAAGCGGATGGAAGAGGGAACGCATCCGGCGTGCGGTTCAGGCTGGTGGAAGGGGTTATCGGCGGAGAAAGTGTCGGAGAACTTGAAGCGGGAGGCGGAAGTTTCCAAGGGGAGAGCGAAGGAGGAGTACTATCCGTCAGCGCCTCGGTAGAGGTGGACCCTTGTAATCTCTTCCGCTCTCGTTGCGGGGTCTTCTGAATGCTCCCTCGAAGGGAATACTCCCCCGGACGAGAAGCGGCGGTTTGTGAAGCCGCCTCCGCCATGACTGCCTTCATGTCGACCCTAACATTTCATGAGCAAACACAAGAATACTCCCGGGACAACTAACCGAGGTGCAGAGGACGCTTTCCAGACGGGAGTAGACGGCGCCGAAACGTCTAAAGCAGGTCGAGAATCGTCGTCCATTTCAAAAATGTCATCTATAGTGTTCGACGAAGGCTGCGGCGCAATCACAGGGCTATTGCACAGCGATGGACCTCTAGATCGCTTATGCTTGGGAGACGAGTCCGTTTCTCTTCTCGTGGGGAATCTCGAGGAAGGAATGATGGGCTCCGGGATATCTTGCAACGCCAGCCAATCTCCATGAATCGCCATGGCCCGATCGAATAGGAAACTGGACCGAGCTTTCGGACTCTTGTCCGTCTGTCTCTGGACCAGGAAACGCGACAGTTGCTTGACGAGAGCAGGTGCAAGATCATCAAGCATGCGGCTTTCAAGCAGTGTCTCCATATTTGCGATCATGTAGCCCTGTATACTTTCAACCAACTGCTCCGCATGGAAATGCGTTGCGTCGGTAAGTATATAGCAGGCATTGTTGATGTCTGCCCATCTGAGAATGGCGGCAGAACAGAGCAACACCAGGCGATCAAGAAGCAACTCGTTCTAAAGAAAGATTAGCCAAGACGCATACAGTTTGGAATCTCTTACAGCAGCAGCCATGACATCGAACAAGAATTCCAGGACGTCGTCGACCGAGTTGGCGAATTCTAGATGAAAATAAGTATATGTTTCCAAACAGCACTCGAAACACTTGCCCAGATTCTCGAAAAGCTCCGCATCTTGACCACAGCACAAATACTTGAGAACGTACTCCATCACATGCCAACGAAGATGTTTGAGGTTAACAGTAATTGTCCCTTGATCCCATCGCTTGACGGTCCAATCCTTCTCGTCAAAGAAAGCCGAAAAAACGGGCGATCGCGCGCGTAAAATCGTGGAATGGCAGTGCACCTCTCTGTCCGCCAACTGCAGGATAACATCCGGAGCGAGAGGGCCGATCACGGAGTTCGGGCCAGGCTGTACGGCGAGGAATAATTGGCTCATATCCCGTACCATAGAAGGCGATGGCACACGCTTAGCCGGGGACACAAGGGCCAGTGCAAGAAGGGGAAGATCGAGAATGCGTGCAAGAGCTTGCAGCTCGGCCTTGACTTGGGCGGGTTTAATGCTGTATTTGTTCAACTCGTGCTGAAGAGCCGAAGCAACACGCCTGTCCCATATGGCCAACAGATCGTCCGAGTACAAATATTCCAAGAAGATGAGAACAGTGATCCGCTCGCAGCCTTTGATGTCGAGTCGTGTTGGCACCGGCCCGGGAACAGCGGAGACCCGGATAGTAATGCTCGATTGCTGGTCTTGAACTGCGGTCCCGCTGAGGACCGCACACAGGACGTGCGACCGCGATGCAAGGATAACTCGATGTGCAGCAAAGGCACGTTTCGACACGTGTACCATAAGGTCTGCTCCATGCCGTACCGACGGAGTAGTACCCGCAACCAGCAATCGACACAGTCGCCAAATCCGCACAAAGTCGGCCTCGACATCGGAATCCTCTGCGTCCTCGCCCTCATCGGCTGCAACCCACCGTGGCTTTGCAGGGACGACAGCCGATTCGTCTTTGAGACGAGAAGGTGGGTCAGACGCAAGATAGGGCTGGATGGCAGCCAAATCTTGTGCTATAGAATTCCCTTCGACACGTATGGGCTTGGGTTTGACGTCCACCCGCAATGCTCCAAACGCGCCGGTGCTATTTGCGCACACTTGGGTCACACGCTGAATGAAGGGGACACGCTGGAACTTGAAATTCTTGTTTGATGCTGCATTGCTGCCTTGAGCCTTGCTGTTGCGCGAGCGAATGAACACGTGACCAGATGCGGTGCAGATAATGATGCTGCCGTCAGCGCCGAGTGCGACGTCTTGGACGGCGCTGACTTGTTTCCGCAAAGCCCAAACGCGCTGGGGCTTGAAAATTCGGCTTGCATCGGCTTCGTTCCGCTCGGGGACAGAGAACGTGAACAATTCGCCGTTGGAAGACAAAGCTGCAATGGCATCGTCGCAGCTTGTAATCTTGGCGATATGCGCATCCTTGAGTTTCATGGCTTGGGGCGGCCGGTACGGTTGCATCTCGGTGGGGAAAACGTGAGCGGGAAAACTAGAGAAATGATTGGTCAAGTCGGAAATTACTCGCGATATAAAGACGTACAGGATTTTGCTGTACCGATCATTCCAGATAACGACAACGTCTTGATTATCCAAGAGGCAAGCCATTGCATTATCCTGAACGACCATGAAAAACAAAAAAAGAGGCGTGGAATCATACACACCGTGAGAGATATATCCAAAACCGGTCGAACGACCTTGGATACCTTCCGAGGAAGGACCTGGACAGGTTGAGCGACCTTGTCGTAACCTGCTGCGTTGAGAATAATCAGAGGGAAGGAATGAGGTCGCATACCCAACTGCCCATTGTTCTGGCCCCAAGTGAATACTTCCGTTGCTGTCCAACACGCAGAACAGGTTTTGGCTGCAGCGATCCCTTTCACAATCTCTTTCTTCAATGGTCCGTAAATCTTCCGCGGCACTGCCTGGATAGGCTCCTCGAGCTTGTTGGTCGTGATTGCAGAAGGTTCGACGATATAACCAAGCTGATGGAAGCGTGAAAGACCCCAGCTGAGCACTTCTCCTGCATTCGTCAACGCTAGGGTGTGATCCTGACCCAAGGCAACGGCAACGATAGTATGTGATAATTGTGGGTGCGGAACGAGGCTGAACTGTGTGTGCTGCCCAGGCCCCAAGCTTAAGGGTTGTTAACAACCTAGGCAATGAAAAGATAAGGAACCATAATTACCGCC